CCCATTCTGCTTGTAGATTTGAAAGCTCTTTTATCTAACGAGAAGTTGGAGGAACTTTTTAGAGCCTCTCTGGGAGCTTTTGTGGCTTCTAGTGAGGGCAGATACAGGTTTTGCCCATCTCCTGATTGTCCCTCCATTTATCGAGTAGCTAGTCCTTCAGCGGCAGCCGGTGAGCCATTTGTTTGCGGAGCATGTTATGCAGAGACATGTACAAAGTGTCACTTGGAGTATCATCCTTACGTTTCATGTGAGAGATACAAGGGGTACAAGGAGGATCCAGACTTATCTCTCAAGGAGTGGTGCAAAGGGAAAGAACATGTCAAGGCCTGCCCTGCATGTAGCTATACAATTGAGAAGGTAGATGGCTGCAACCACATTGAGTGCAAGTGTGGGAAGCATGTCTGCTGGGTTTGCTTGGATTTCTTTGGAACTAGTGATGCTTGTTATAGCCATTTGAGAACTATACACATGGCCATCATATAAATAACTCTTTTCCTTCTCAATCTCCCTGCATAGCTAGTTTTAGTTATGTACATAATACGTAGATTGAAGTAATGTGTATAATTTTTTAGTCTTCTGTACAGCTTGTTTCAACACTCATTTGCATCTTCACGTTTAAAGAATGCTTTCCCCTTCTACGTTCCTACAATTTTTGCGCATTTGTGTGTTCCATTGTGATAAACTAGGTGATCTGCAAAGATTATCTGCATCTGCAACATCATTTTCATTGTACTGCATGATGGTAGAAGTGTATTGCGCTTAACAAGGGTCTAATTTGCTTTCTAATTGCTAGTTTAAGTAGAAGTTACCTCTGATTGGATTGCGTTTAGGAAAATATGGTGCTTTGCGTGTGTTGGCCATTCATTCTATCGCTTTCTTGAGTTCTCTATTTTCTCCCCCACCTTAGAAAACTAACACTACCAACCAGTAGCAGATATTTACACCCTGTACCGTACCAAAAAATATTTTTCCCCCCTTCTTTTGGGGACGTTAGTTTATTCTCGGTCAAAATTTCTCTGACCTCTATTTATATATCCTATGTAATTTTGGTCGGGTTGGGTACTGTAGCTCTACAATATTATATACCGTACCCAACTCTTTTTCCCTGAGTTTTTACTTGGTAAACAAGTTTGTAGGGTCATTGGTCAAAAAGAAAAAAAGAAACAAGTATGTGGGGTCCGCAGCTACAATTGAAAGAGATAGGCTTGAGACGTAGAGTGCTTTGAGGGTTGTGAAAACCACCAAACAAAAGCTTAGATCGACTAGTGTAAGATCGTCTTTAATTTAATCAGTGATATTAAGTTTGAGCTTTGAGGGTATAGCCAGCGTGATAAATCTCACAAGAGGGGTGTAGCAGGAGCTTCCTCCAATATAGGCCAACCTGGTCTCAGTTCGAATTAATCTGACCCTGCATTTGTGGGTTGAGATATCGGAAGCTATCAAATAAAAAAAAAAAAAAAGAAGAAGAAGAGGGTAGTGAAATCAGTAAATGTAAGATTTGAAGTAAGTAATGAACACGAGATCTAATGAATGCAAGATTTTATTTTATTTTTTCCCGCCAAAAAAGTACAAATTTCATTCACAAAAACTGTGAAAAGGTGTGCAATCCAGTGAAAAATTCTTATTGCTTGAAAAATAACAAATTATTAAAATAACTTCAAATTCTAATACACTGGACGTATAAGATAATAAAATTTAAAATAAAATACATTGTTTAAATTTTTTAATTATTAATAGGGATAATAAAATATAAAATATAACAAATTATCATATAGATTTTAATTTAATATTTTCTTGGTGAAACATTTTAAAATAAAATAATTATTATTTATATTTTCTTTTTTGGCCAAAATATTTATATTTTCAATACGTACATAAATAAGAAATTGCAAAATAAAAAAATTATTGTTTATATTTTTTGTAAGCACGGTGTCAAATTCAAAACTAAGGAACATTGTTATTTAATTTTGTATGTGAGGATAGCGCATCTGTAATAATTATTTTCATAATTTTAATGTACATGGGATAACAAATTCTAAAGTAATTTATGTGAGAATAAAAAATTGTTACTTATGGAATAAAATAAATTGTTTATTTTTGAATATAATTAGTTGTTGTTTACTTATGTCTTCTAAACAAAAAATATGCATAAGGTCAGGACAAAAATACAGTTATTTATACTTGAAAAATTTAAAAATATGGGAATTTATACTTTTATTGTCATAGTTATTTATTTATAATTACTTATACAATTATATTTTATATCTTTTAAATAGCGTTATTTGTTTAAAATTATTTTCTAAATATTCAATTTTAATAATTTCACCTTTATTTGGTTGGATTCCAAGATTATTAGATTGATTGGGAGTAACTTTTCTAAAAGAATTTTTGTCATTTACGCGAACTCAAACTCAAGATTCTATACTTAAGTAACAGTTATAGTGCCATTCATGTTGGTCATTTTAATTTTTTTTTTATATTTACTCAATTTATAATCAAGGGAGATTCACAAATAAATCCAACCATATAAGTAAATGACAAAAGAAGGTAACAAAATGGGGTAATTATTTTGAAATCTCTAAGGGTTTATCTTATATTAAATTTGTTTACGAAATGTCCATAATGTCCCCAAGATAAATAACTTCAAAATACAAAATGACTACTTTTATTAAGGAAGTAGCAATAGACCTACATATATCAAATTTTTTTTAGCTTCTTTAATAGATATATGTAGTATATATATCCTATGCCACATTCCATGTCTCATAGATATTAATCTTCCCAATGATTAATAATATTACTTTCTTATGTCATCCAGTGCTTTTTTGGGTAATTTTTTATTTATAATTTTCATGGGCCACTTAAAAAATAGCGCACATTTTTTTTTTTGGTAATTTTATTTGTGGCTACCTTATTTTTGAGAAAATATCACTCAAAGACCATTGATGGTATTTAACATCAATCAAGGATTAAAAATTTTGAAATATTATTGTAGGATTAAGAGATTGATTTGAAAATAATTTAGATTAAAAAAGACTATAATAACCTTGCTTTTCTTTTTTTAATTGATAAATACTCACTCATGAATTAACAAATACTCATTCACATTTAGTAAGAAGCCATTTGATAATTGTAAGTTTAAGAATTTGAAAGAACCTGATTGTGAGGAGGGATAAGTGTAGATCATATTTCAATAAGTATCTATTTATTAATTAACAAATGCTCATTCACATTTAATAAAAAGTTATTTACTAATTGACAAGTTCAAGAATCTAAAAGAACTTAGTTGTGGGAAGAGACAAATGTAAATCATATTTCAATAAATAGTTATTCATTAATTAATAAGTATCTATTTGCATTTAACAAAAAAACCATTTGTTAGTTGACAAATTTTTTTTAAAAAAGAGAAAAATAGGGGCATTATAACCTTTTCACATGTGAAATTATTTTCAAATCAAATATCTAATCTTATAATAATATTTTAAAATCTTTTAATCATTTGTTTGATATTAAATTACTTCAGTGGCGCTTAAATGATATTTGTCCTTATTTTTTTTTCATCCGAACTATCTTTTACCCTCACATTTTTTAGCTTTCTATGATAAATTTTTTATATAACAGGGGTGTATGCGCGCCTGTGTATGCTGCTCCCAACGTTCAAAATTTTGGGTCCATTACGGTAAGGGATTGATTAAGACAGTGTAGGAAATGATTACCTCTATGCATGATGTACATATACAATACGCAAATTGGATAAGATATGTACTCGATACATGTATATATGTTTTTAAAAAAATACATAAAAAGCATTAAAAATATAATTTTAATTCAAAAAAAATCCAAACTAATATACCTATATAATCCTTTATATTAATACCAAATAAAACATAACCATTAATTATAATTTTATTTTATTTATATCTAATTGTCTACTTCTTGACTAATAGTTTCTTGCTTACGATTTATGTCAAAAAATTACATTTATATGTTTTATAGCTAAGAATATATAATCTTTATGTTTTTAATATTTAAAACTTATTTTTTAAGGAAGGTTTAGTCTTTGACTTTAAAAGCAAGTCATAAAAAAATTGTCAAGAATTAAAAATAGTAATATCACAATATTTAACAAATCTTAATTCTTAAAAATAGCCTTAAAATATTGGCACAGAAGTATTGATTCACAATTTAAAAATATAAAAAATTTAAAAATAATATTCTAATACGTTATGCAAACATATTGTAGAAATACAAATGAATATTGATATCATAATGATACATGAGATAATTTAAAATATGGGCCATAGACTTCAATTTCTTAACAAGTATAAACTGAAATTAAGAAATGGAAGTAATCATTTCCTGCACTACTTTAGTCATCCGCTTGATAAAAATACTCATTTATTATTTTGAACTTGTCATTTATTTTCTTCGTTCAACATTTATGAAATAAAAGTAATTATTTATTACACTATTTTAATCACTTATTTAATGAAAGTAGTCATTTACTTTGAGGGTCATAACAATCATTTCAAAAAATAAATTAATGAGGTAAATAAAAAAATTTAAGGACTTTTAAAAAAATTTATTCAGGGTGCTCTTTTGTCATCAGAGTGATTTAATTGTAATTCTTCCTATAATTAAAAATATATTAATTTATTTAGAGCCAGTTGTACTTGATTCAAAGCTAATACGATTCTTTCAAAAAGAAACAGCAGCAGCAGCTAATACGATTTTTTATAGCGTTATATGGATGTACAATTCCCGATACCGTGCAAATAGAGCTCATCTGCAACATGGATGTGGAAAGACAAGAGAAGAGGATTTAAAAATTGTGGGTGCTTTCATGTTGATGAAACGGAAATGAAAAATATAACGCGGAAATGACTCCATAAAAGTCCATTGACTTGGATTGAATCTGTGGAAAAAGAGGCTCAAAATGGATGCTCCAAGTCCAATTATTGTCCGAGTCTCTCACGCAAGCAGAATTGAGCCATGAAAGCGACTGAAGAAACCCCCAAACCTCACTAACCTCCAACTTTTGTCTACAGTAGAAAACAAGCTTCCGACAAATTTCCACATGACCCCCTGATTTTTTTATTTTTTTATTCTGGTTAATGGGTTCATATTCATTTGTCTCCGTTCCTACAAAGTTCAAGTTTTCTCACTGATCTGCTCTTCTTCCTCTTCCTCGCTTTCTCTGTAACTGCCACATTCAACTGATACTTCCATGACTTGTGGACGAAAATGCAGTCCAATCCCTTCCCCTCTTCAGTCGCCGATGTTGCTTCCAGAGCCCGCTTCGCCATTTCTTTCCTCCAATATTCATAGCCTTGGTCAAATCCATCTTCTTCGAGTCGTGATGGCCGCCATAGCTTCCATACTTGGCATGCTTCTCCTTCTTTTCGTGGTGCTCAAATTTTTGGCAAGGTACTGTGCGAGGAGATATTACAATAGGAGAAGTAACTCACCGATATTGTTTGATATTCGCGGAGATTCTTCGTTTTCCGATGATGATGGAGCTCCAGTTATGCATCCGATCTGGTTCATCAACACCGTGGGTCTCCAGCAATCTGTCATAGATTCAATCGCAGTCTTCAAATACAGAAAAGACGATGGATTAGTGGAAGGAACAGAGTGTTCTGTATGTTTAGGCGAATTTCAAGAAGATGAGAGCCTCCGACTCTTACCCAAGTGCAGTCACGCTTTTCACGTTCAATGCATCGATACGTGGTTGAGATCGCGTAAGAATTGCCCCTTGTGTCGTGCTCCTATAGTTCGCGAAACTTCCGGAAGAGAGATAAGCGCCGTGATTGCGCCTGAACACAACGTCGCCAGCGAGATCCATGCAGAGAATTTGGATGGTTCTGGTGGGGTAGACGGTTCTCCTGTCGGAGAAGGCGAGAGCAGTCAATTGAGCCCTGAAGATGATGATTCTGGAATTGTGCCTGCTGAAGATGAACAAGATGGTGAAGTTTCAGATAAAAATTTGGGTCCTTCAGACAAGATGATGAATTGCCACAATGAGAGGGTGAGCAGGTCAGTTTCAGCACATTCTTATCCTTCTACCTTTGAAGCATCAACTCAGGAGCTTAATTCGTATTCTCTACGCTCCTTTTAAACACGACATGGAGTTTTAAAGATTGGACTCCTAAATCATTAATCATGGCCGAGTCTAAGGCAGAATTCTGAGCACAGAGCCAGAGCTCAGCTCTTACTCCTCTGTTAAAGTAGTGGTATGTATTGCTGATTCATCCACAGAATCTCTGAAAATCTGGGTCTTACCAGAAAGCACAATTGGTGGTTGGTCTTTCAAGATGCATGGAACTGCATAAAAAAGTAGTTGGGTGAATGTTAGTTTGTCCAACTTTTCCAGGTAGCTATACAAATTTATGGCAAATTACTGCTATTTATTTGTCTATATGTCTGTCTGTCTCTGTATTCCCTTAAGAACTCAGAAGAGATGTGTTTCAATTTTGCTTCATATTCTTAGAAGAGTCAAGAGACAGCCATTATATAGTAGAAAAGAAAATGCGGTAATTGCAGAATATATTTCTGTTCCCGTCTTCCCAGTTTATAGGCCAACTTGATAGGATGTCGCAATCTACTTAACGTGTCCAAGTAAGAGAGAAATTATGTCAAGCATTAAAACTAAAGCAACATGAAAAATTAGTTCTTTTTTCTTTTTCCCTTTTTTTCCAATGGGGATTTCACACCACCATTTCGTGGAAATATCACGCATATTATCAATTGGGGTACAATATTGATAATTAAAGCCATCTTTTAAAAATCAATATGTAGAGTCTCTTGACCACCTGGCCAACAGTGAAATAAACCAGAAAAAGAACAACCAAAAACCCAAAATACGAGAGAGGCAGACTCGTGAGTCCCAGGACGTCTCCAATGGGGGTGAATGGAAGTGCAATTCCAATAGTGGAAATCAAAACAGTGGAACAGAGAACAGGCCATGAAGCTACGTCCTGAATAAATGGAATTTTCTCCGTGCGTATCAAATGGATAATCAGAGTCTGCATCAGCAACCCCTCAACGAACCAAGCTGAATGGCAAAACTTTTGATCCGCATAAGCCTTGTAATAGAACCAAATAAACAAAAGAGCTCCAACATCACATAGTGTGCACACAGGATTATTCCACAATATGAACATCGGCAACCCTCTCTCTGACCATTTCTTTGGAGTTTTCACATAATCTTCCTCCATCTTGTCCCATGGAATAGCGATCTGTCCTACACTATACAGGAAATTCTGAGTAAGAAGCTGCCTTGAAGTCACAGGCTCAAATTTAAGCATCAAGGTCGCTACAAGCAGCGAAAGCACGCCTCCTAAGTTACCAATAACTGACGTTTTAATGTACTTCATTGTGTTTCCAAAAGTGAGTCTACCATGTTCTACACCTGCCACTAGAACATTAAGATCTTTCTCAAGCAATATAATATCTGCCATATCTTTGGCAATTGCTACACCTGAGTCCACTGAAATGCTGACATTGGCAGCATCAAGGGCTAGTGAATCGTTGATACCATCTCCCAAGAACCCAACAACGTGGTTTCCAACTGTCTGTAAGGACTGGACTATACGTAGTTTCTGAATTGGTGTGAGCCTAGCTAGGACTGTGGCTCTCTTAACAGTTTCATGGAAAGTTTCTTGGTCTAGTTGGTCTAGCTCAGGCCCCGTGATTACGTGGGTTGTTCTGATGCCTACTTCCCTGCATACCCTCATGGTTAAGGACAGTGAGTCACCTGTCAAAACTTTTGCTTTCACTCCCTTCTCTGCTAAGCGCCACAGTGCTTGCTCTGCTGAGTCCTTCGGAGGGTCATAGAACGTAATGACACCAAGGAACACCATGTCCGTTTCAACATTTTCTTTACTGCTCCTACTTCTGGTGCTTGTTTCACTGGTTTGCTGGAAAAAAAAAAAGATGGATAAAATGAAATTGTCACAGAGCTAGAAGTACAAAAGTGTATGTTGAATGATTAAGATAACAAACTAGCTTGCCAAAAAAAATGCCGAACTAGCTACAGCGATTTCAAATACTAGGATATTACTTGACTTTTACACCGTTATATTGTGTATATAACACCTGCTTATCTCAATATAAATCGTGTAACCCTTCTTTTAATTTTGGTTTATTCAAAATTATTCAAAATCCTTGAGAAGGAACCACAAGCAGCTGGTTGAATGGTAAGTGACTTAGTATTCCTTAAGCAAGGTATCAAGTATGAATATCGTGCATTGAAAAAAAATAGAAAAACATGTTGGAAGAGCTTCTACCAAATTAGGACCTGGCCTAACTCGACTCCAAATGAGTCAGTACTCAGTAGTATTGGATACTGATAATTTGTCCAAAAAAAAAAAAAAAAAGAAATTCTTGAGAAGGAAACAGAAATAGGAGGGAAAAAAAAAAGAAGACGCACCTTTTCTAGCTTTTTTATAGCTACTCCTATAATTCTTAGTCCTTCATTGCTCAATCCTTCCGCTAAGGATAAAATTCTGTTATAATCATCTGAAGAGAACTTGGAAACTTCATTGTTATTAAAATTCTCAATGAAAGAACAAACTCTCATGACTTCCTCCAATGCCCCTTTTGTTACCATAAACCTGCCAGATAACTGAGACTCTCTGTCTTCCATACGCGACTCTGTTTCTATGATGACAGATACTCGCCTGCGTATGAAATCAAAAGGAATCTCATCTATTTTCATCCATTTTGACGGCTGAAATCTGAATCCATTTGAATATACGAAGGCCAGAATGGCATCATCCAGAGGATACTTCTGATCTGTCTTAAAGTAAGAATTGAGGAATGCAAAGCGTAGAACTTTTTCTTGAGTTATCCCCTGGCAGTCAAGATGATTTACCATAATTGCACGGTTCATTGTCAGTGTACCTGTCTTGTCAATGCAAAGGATGTCCCTGTAACAAAACAATTAAGTACATATAAAAAAAAAAAGGGTTGCTATTGCAAACAAAATGAAACTGATGTAAACAAACTTACATTGATCCCATGTTGCGTATTGATGCTAAACTTTTGACTATACATCGGTCTCGAGCCATGGCGAGTGCTCCTTTTGCAAGGCAAGTGTTGATGATGAGGAGAAGCATTTGAGGAGTGAGGGCAGATGCCACAGAGATGGCAAAAATAATACTTGTGCTCAAATCACCAGAGGTTGAGTAATCTGTTACAAATATGACAGTCACTGCAACTAGCATAATAGCCACAAGCACAAAAAATATCCAGCGTAGACCATATTCAAATTCATCTGGTGGCTTCTTCCCAATTTTTGAGAACATGGTGTTCATGTATGTGTTAGATCCAGTTGATATAACTAGGCCTGTCCCACTTCCAGATACCACGTTTGTGCCCTGTAATAGTTATAAAGCAGTCACTTTTCACGGACAATCAGACAAACTTCTTTTGGACATTACAACTTTAACATCAAAGGCCACGGAATATTAATAATAGGAAATCTGACGCAAATTCGGATCCTGATGACATTGATACTTGAGTGCCTCTAGTTAGTGACAATGGAACTATCAATTTTAATATGCTTGGCATGAGAAAAAACTCACACAACTAAACTCATACAAGGTTGAGTACATGTAAATGAAAAGTTGTTTCAGTAGTCATGTGAAATACTCATACAGCCAAACTCATACAAGTTTAGGAAACATAGAAAACTCACAAAGTCATTGTTTAAACTGAAGTTTCCTTTCAAGCAAAACAATGACGGTAATTGCATTATCCACTATGAAGCACTTATACTTCAAACTTTCCACGTTTGTGTCCTCAATGGTCATAAACCAGTCACTTCCTGTAATTCACTGACCCGTGCCTCTGCACACGGAATTTTGGTGGTATGCAAAAATAAACAAGGAAAGGTTGAAACATGGGTTCTGGGCCCCATAAAAATAATCTAAATTAGCAAACGATAAAAATAAGATAAAAAATAGTGGAAGAAAAATGATACAATACAAAGTTCAATGTAAGTCAGATATTTCAAATTAGAGCATTATCCATAAGCCAAATACACTAAGTGACTTCCATACAATATATGTATTTTAGATTAAAGATTATAGATTATAAATGATTGCCAAGAAGTTCAATTACAACATGGCAAACTCTTGGAAATTAAAATATCAATATCGAATGCCACAGAATACTTTTCTGACAAAAAAATGCTAAAGAATATTAAAAAGAAAAAAAAGAAGAGGAAATCTGGTTTTACAGATTGAGATTCTTATTAGTTCAATGCAATGCAATGTTTGTCTACTGTTATATATGGCTGTTTAAGTTTTATCAGAAACTTTCCTCACCAATTAAGACAAATTTCTAGACGCTTCATTAATTATGTAAACTGTTCATATAGCTGCCTGTGTTCGTAGGGTTTTAAACTAAAGCTAGATTTTCCTTTAAAACAACACAAATGAATTACACCTACTCACCATGAAACAAATGTTCTTTAAATCTAACAAAGGAGTGCTGAGACTTTCTCTGACATCAGCAGTTTTGTCAGTCGCCCAAGATTCCCCAGTTAGTGAGGCCTGACTGTTAAAAATAGAAGGAAATCGTTGAAAGAACTTATTACTAAAAGAGAAGGTGAAAAAAAAAAAAATCCCAGTTGAAATACCTTACAACAAGGTTTTTGGAAGATAACAATCTGACATCTCCAGGAAAGAGATCCCCAGGTTCAAAAATCACAATGTCACCAGGAACTATATCCCTTTGATCAACTTGAACTACTAACTCTTGTTGCACAACTCTACCCGCGCATCTTTGAACTTTTATTGGGGATCTTAGAAATTCTGAAAGCTTCATAGCTGCTTTTGAACTGCTGTACTCCTATAAGAGACACGTAGGAATTCAAGAACAAGAGCAGAAAGAAAGAGAAGATAAGCATTCGACCAACAAATGAATCAAGAAATCACCTGATAGAAACGAAGGGAGACACTGATAAAAACAAGCGTTAGCATGATGCAGCCATTTGGAATGTCACCGGATATGAAGGACAAGATAGACAAGACAACCAGAATGATATTGAAAGGATGAAAAAGTGCACTCCATAGAAGATGCCACCATCTAGGAAAAGTATGCTCGTGCAGAACATTTGGTCCAGTTTCCTTCAGTCTCCTATCTGCCTCAGTGAAACTTAACCCTGCGTGCACCCAACCAAAAAACAACTTCATCGAGCAACTAAATTGGATTAACAGAGGCATTAACTTGATGCTCTGAATTGTTTTAGATTACAAGCAAAAGAGATCAATTCAAATGAATTACGTGAAATTCAACATGTAATTACCTCTTTCAGTGGAACGAACGTACTCAAAGACCAAGTTTCTTTCAGAGCGAGCCAAAGTATATAACCACGAGTAAACTCTTTCTTCTTCCTCCGTCCTCGAGCCCCCATCAGCTTTCTCTGCAAGTGAACACAAGATGTTTGAATGAATGAAAAATGTGAAAAATTAATAGTGCAATCCTTTCCTGTTGCCTCCAATCTTGTCATTCCACACAAAACCAAGCCATGAGAAGAAAGAATTAAAAGGATGAACCAAGAGAACAGAGGACGAGGAGGAGGAGGAGAAGGGGCGA